GTGCCTGGCACCTGTTGCTTACTTGAAAAACCATCATTGAATGAAAACTTGACTTAATCGAATTTTTCGGTAGTTTTCGCGAGCGGTTAATATGAATGAAAGGGTCTAACGAATGAACGGATGGATGAATGTGTTTGCGTTAATGATAGTACGACTTGTAGGAGGAAGTTGTGTGCTTGATTGCCGTCTCGTTAAATCCAACGAACCTTCAGAATGATGGCCGAGAATTTCCTGATGCAATACGTCTTTGGTATGTTTGAAAATCTTGTATTTAAAAGGAAACAATTCACATTTTCCACGGAGTCTTTTAATTTTACGAGTTATGCGTAAGATGAGTTGAATATCGGTCTGTGGTGTCATTATGTTTTAAAATTTTTTACTGTTATTTAATAAAGTAAATTTATGTAACAACCTTCTGTCTTCAGAATTACTGTAAGTCAAGAAATCTCATCTGTGGCTTTCCATATATCGGTGTTAAATGCCATTAACGGCAGCTCCAGTGTACAAATATTTTCTGTTCAAAGGAAGGAGTGCGTGATGCATAATTCAGAATAACGCTTTTGAGATTGATTTTTTCAGTGGAGTTAGTGATGCCTTCCGTCTGATTGCCAGTGCCATTGATATAACATCTCTCTACCCATGAACTGTCATTTCCTGTTCACAGGGGCACGGAGGGGGAGGCGTATTGGAAAGATTTCTTCACGCATGCTTCATGTTTTCCATCTACAGCTAATTACGTCAGTTTTGTGCGTTGAGTCCAGTTTTGTTTTGTTTTTATGTGTTTGGCGCTGCTGCTCGCCCGAAGAAAACCTGGGCTCTGCGATGATGAACTCTGTAATGCGAATCGTGTTTTTGATTTAGTCGGTTTTAAAGTGATTTATGATATCTTGAAGCACGAAAAACCGCCATATTTATAGCTTGTGCTGGGCAGAACCGTAGCTTCAGCTTCATCCAGATCCTGGCCACATCATTGGTTTTTCAGTAGTAATGACACTTCGCTTTCCTTAGCCTCTTCTGATGAATTGCTTCGATAGCATTCATTGTCGGGTGAGCTGATACCCCATGCCTCTCCAATGATTTAATACCGCTGAACATTCTCTTACCCTATAATAAATGGCTGCCTGTCATGAGCAGCTGTTTGCATCGTACGATTAGCTGAGCATCGCCACCGGCACTTTTCGATTAGCCTCTAGTTCGAAGTACTCCCTGAATTTCTGAGTAACCCTTCCTTCACTTACTCCCTTAGAATATCTCGAAGAGCCTGAAGAATTGATGTTGGTTCGTTGAATGTCTAACTTAGCTTTCTTATGTTTTGCTGTTGTTTTTGATATCACGCTTGTATTTCTGCATTTTTTTCTCGAAGGTTCAGATTTGCTTCCTTTCGTTGTTGTCTCATGGCTGTCTGAATCCAGTAGACCTACCGCTACAGCGTTTTCTTCTTGGTGGTGTTTCTTCCGATTGAAATGATATTTCACAACTTTTTGTTCTAACCTTGAACAGTGATCGCCTGACGCAGAGAGTGACATGACTTTATGAAGTGCCCACTCTTCACCGCAGATGCATCAATAGCGAGGTTTTGGTAGATTACAGGCTATCTTCTTTGTATGCGTTTTCTTTTTATTCTTTCTCACTTTATTATATTCTTTTCTCATTTTTCTTCCTTCCGCTCTTCTTTTGGTTACACTCTTCTTTTTCCTCTTTCCTTTCCTGTTCTGTTGTTCTTTTTTATTCTTTGTCTTATTTGTTCTCTCTCTTGTTTCGTTTCCTCTTTTTTTATTTCTGTCTGTGCTTGTTAATTTTCTTTCTTCACAGCCTTCCTCAGCTTCCTCTTCTTTTCTCTTCTCATTTTCTTCTGGTTCGTTTGATTCTAATCTTTCATCTTATTTTCTTTTCCTCTTTCCTTGTTTTTAATCATTTTTCTCTTCTTTCCTGTTTTATTTTCTTCGTTTTAATTTTTTCTTGAACTTATTTCCCTGCTTCATTTTTCTTCTTCATCTTTCCACCCTCTCTTTTCTTCTGTTTCTCTTTCTTCCCCTAGTTTCTTTCATTCTGTTCATTCAGTTTTTCTTCCTTCTCTTTGTCATATTCTGCGTTATTGTTTCTTCTTCATCCCTCGTTTCTCAGTTTCATTCTCCTCTGCCTCTTCATCTTCATTCTTCAGTTTGTTTCTCTTGTTTTCCCTTTCCTTCTTGCTCCTCGTGTTAGTACTCTTTTTCCTGTTCCATATTTTTCCTCTTCTGCATATGTTTTTCTTTGTGCTAAATTACCTGTCTATCTACAGTAAGGTACAAGCAATAAGAATGATGATTGCGTTTATTTTGCTCGTTTTTTCTTTATTTTTCGCTCTCCTGCTTCTTTTTATGTCGGTAATCAATTAAATCAATTTTGCTCACTCCCTCTTCGCTTCCTTCATGTTTTTTCATTTTCTGCTTGCTCTCTCTGCCTTACTTTTTCCATGTCTTTCCTTTTCTTCCGTCTCATCCTTATCGTCCTCTTTTTGTCAGAGCTTCTTATTTTCTGAACTTGTGCACTTTAGCAGTAAGCCTTCGTTAATATTGAGTCAATTAAACAGAATATTCTCCACTATGCATCATTCACCAGGCTGTTTCGTACCTAATTCTTGTCGAAAAGGTAGCTTGGAAGATTGTCGTCAGGTGATACGATAGTTTTTGTTTATGTTTTTATCCCACTTTGTAAACAAAGTTCCAAAGTCAAAATCTGACATCGGTCGAGGGCTGCAGTTGATACGTTGTATATGCAGATGACGAAGTTTCGCAGTCCACTTCATGTGTTCAGCACAGCTTCGCCGGAGGTCGCTTTTCAAACAGATGTGCTACTTCTTGTGTTTTCCTGCTAGCGCTAAAACAAACTTTTTTTGTTTTTCGGCGCTTATGCATAGGCTTGCTTCATTCTGTGATGGATGCTTGAAAATTAGCGAACACAGATGACCTATAAGACTATATGCTGTTTAGCACTGATTATACTTCCTTCATCTCGCGCTTTGTTTATAATCGAAAAGCATCAAAAGCTGCCTATTATCTTAACGTGTATAAAACGAATAGTTCTTCCTAGACCGCATTTCACGGCCTATTGCACCGTTTCCCTTGCCCGTAGCTTGTTAGGATGCCATTTAAGCCGCCACTGCTCCATGGCATTTGGTGCATCTTGCATCATTTTGTCCACTGCTGCCACTCGAGCTCATTATGAATGATAGTTTAATAATTAATATTGTGTTATGCTACCACATAAGTATCGAAATATGTCTGTATACCGGATTATGTCAAATAACATATAATTCCTGCCTGGACCGTAGGACGTAAAAATAAACGGCTTGTTTGCCGGAAGCAGTGGCGTGTAATGCCGCTGTTCAGCATGTACCGCGTGTATGCTTCAGTGTCTAGTGGATTTTGTTAGTTTTCGAATCCAATGCCAATTCTTCGGTTTCGTTCACTGCCTGAGCGAGAAAATTAATCAAATTCGTCCGGAGGTTCCAATTATTCACCACTCTGACATTGGTGTTGGGTTGGGCTGCATGATTGATGGCTCTCACTCGGTGCTTGATCGAGTTCCTTTCTGTAAAGTCGCTGATACCGTTTGACCAATAGGAACGTATCATACATCTAACATATACAGTTGCATGTGCTTCGTTTTTAACATTGCAGGTCATTTTGAAATGTTCTCTCCTGTACTGATCCCTGTTCTACGCCTGTAAGAAATTTACTGCAGTACAGGACTGAAATAATAGTGTAGAAGCCACAGCGCCTGACTCTGTATTGGTTGCAATTTGGGCTGCATAATTTTGCTGGTCAGAGCTTACAAGAACTGGATTGGAATACGGGCTCAGATGAGACGACGAGTAACAAACACAGATGGAAGTTTGTGGCAACAAAATCGCCGGAGGCAGAATAGCGTGGGCAACGAAACAAGGCAATGATGATCCCCTTTGACGAAAACGATTAGGAATAAGTCAAGAGAGAAATATCGATTTCTCTGGCCAGCAGTAATAATGACAACAGTGAAATTTGAAACATTGCCAGATGAACCATACTGAAAAATGTTATCTTACATTCCAGTGGGTGATGAGGTGATGAACAAGTTCAGACAGTGTTGTAGCCAGACGCCTGGTTTTGATTGCCGAATTCTTGCAAGATTTATGTTTTCTCCGTTATCTGATATCATCGATAAAACGTTGTTCTTGAAGGAGTCATTATTCTCCTTTCAGCAGGCTGGCGCATGATGAAAACGTTTCATGGTTCTTTCTTCAAAGACTAATAAAAAACATGATCCTGAATCTTCCAGTCTCGAATTGTGAATGAGGTACCCCTTTCCTACGCGGAACTACGTTAAATTGCTTAAAGGGTCCTGCTGGTCCTGAGTTTCTGAGCCTCATTTAATCTTCGGGCATAACTACAGCAAGGCAACGCACCTCTCCCTATTGTCCATTTGTCAGCTTCTGTGACGAGAGAACTGAAGTGAATCCGTACAGCCATCTCCCCATTGAGTAGTATCTCCATTCGACGAGTGAGAAACCCACCAGATAGTTATGTCGGTAGATATAAGCTGAATTTTCAAAAGCGAAACACGGGTCTATGCTATTGCTGGCTTGGAGGTAACCACTTCTGCGCGTCGTATATTAGGCAACGTCATTTGCCAAAGCGGTCATTTTGATTTGCGTGTTCTGGTTCATCGGGTGACATGCCACTGTGCCAGCACCCCTTCTTTATTTCATTAGAAGATTTGAGGAAATCCTTTAACTTGTACTCTCGAAATGATTTCCGTTTTTCGTTTAACAAATTTCGTATGCTCCGTCGAGTCAGGATGCTCATGTTTAAATACTGGTTTTTCTACCAGCTACTTTGCTGATGGGGGTGTACGGCTATTTTTATTTCACGGTAAATATGTTTTAAATATGTTGGCCGATTTTATTCGTTGTATAAATTTATCTGCTTCACCTTACTTACACTAGTTTGTTTGTATTTGCTACACTGTGTAGTTTATAGGCATGTATACAACTACTGTACATCTGTCCAGATTTCGGCAGCTTGCGGTCCCAAGCATGCGGCGCCGCCGACCTTGGATTCAGGCCATCAGCAAGGGGCTACGCTTGGCGCTGAATTCGTCGGCACGGAACT